ATTCATGAACCCAGAGATACTTAAACTCCTCCACTTGGGGCTGGACCTTTTCCCCGCCCTGGAGAAGGCACTCTACCCTTTTCCTAGCTGAAGACCCTCGGGATTGGAGGCTCTGAGCCTCATCCCGGCCGCGAACCGCTCCAAGCTACAGCTGCAGATCACGACCTGATGAAGCCAACAGGACCACATCATCCACAGAAAGCAGAGATGCGATCCTAAGGCCACCAAAACGGATCCCCTCAACACCTCGGCTGGTCAGAGATTCTGTCCATGAAAGTACTGAACAGAACCTTGGTGGAGTCCAACTCTACGGGAAACGAGCCCGACTTGCTGCCGTTACGCCGCTAGTGGCGACGGTAGTAGGAGTTTGTCCCGCAGTCGGTGCGGGGTTGATGCTTGATCTGTCCTCTTCTGTTGTGTCCTTGGGCAAGGCTGGTTGTGGTCAGAGCGTCCAGCAGGTGGCGCTGGCGCATGGCAGCCTGGGTCAGGTGGCCGTCGCTACGATCCAGTCCTCTGTACTTGATAAATGCTTGCAGAGGGTCCACCACCCAGGGTCAGAGGTCAGATTATCTGGATGCATCACAGTGTGATCAGTGTGGGCCTGAAGCTGTACCGGGTCAGGTCGCATCAGAACCTGCTAACTTGATTTCTGTTGCCAAAAGGGACGAGAACCAATCAAACCAAAGGAGAGATGGAGCAAATCCCGCCCCGCCGCCCCCCAGACCCAATCAGAACCGAGGTAAGTCCTCCCAGCGGAGATGACTCTGGTTCTGGTCCGTGATGAAGGTTCTGACGGGTCAATTGTGTTCAGCAGATCCACAGACATCCAAGAAGCAGCAGAAGGTGAGAAGGTTCTGCTCAGGTCATCAGGAGGCTGCAGCTGCAGCTGGGCCTCACTGTGTGTGTGTGTGTGTGTCAGGCGGCGGATAAAGGGAAGGTGGTGTGTGCCAAGTTCCCTCCTCAGGCTGTGGACGAGGCGTCTCTGAGGAAACTCATCGAGCCGTTTGGAAAAGTCGGAAAAGTCCTCATGTTTCCGTCTCTGGTGCGTCTTCATCTCTCTCTCTCACACACACACACACACACACACACACACACACCTCCCCAGCCCCGGTGGGGGCCTAACCACCTCTGTGCCCCTCAGGCCTTCGTGGAGATGGGCTCCTCCGATCAGGCCAAGGACCTGGTGAAGTTCTACAGCAGTTCTGACCCAGAAGCCAGGAAGGTGAACGTGGAGTTCAACATCTCCAACGCCTTCAGCTTCCTGCAGGTACAACACCTGAGAACACACACCTGGACCGACCGACCGGGTTCTGACCCAGAGTTAAACGGAACCGAGCTGGAGGCGGAGAACTTAACAGATTCATCTCGGTTTCCATGCAAACGGATCTGGGATCTTATTATTGTGTAAAAGCTAATGTTAGCATTAACAACAATTAGCATGCCATGTAAATTTGATGTTAAAGCTAAAACTTAACGGAGGAAGTTAATGTTGGTCAACATGCTACTGAGTGTTAGCTCACTTTAGCTGTAGCATGACTGTTTGCGTAATGAGTGGATTGATTTTCATCTACATAATCATCCTAACATAATAGCTAAACATTAGCATTTAAGCTAATTTTAGCCTAGATGGAGTAAGTCAGTGACGGGTAACATTGCTACATTTTAGCTCATTTTAACCTTAAAGCTAAAACGAACACATTTGATGGCTTTGGCTAATGTTAATAAGCACACTACTGCTAGCTCACATGCTATCATTAGTGCTTTGGCTAGCTTTAGCTCCTTAGCTTATTATAGCATATACACTGCTGCTAGCATGCTAGGTGGAGCAACTTAACTTTAACTGGTAGTTAGCAACCCATGACCTTTAGCATGTTAGCTAAAGGTTAGATGGCTCAGAGTTCCTTGGTTCTGGAACCAAGGAACTCTGAGCGGTTTGGGCCAGCTGGTTCTGATGGTTCTGTCTCCTCAGAGTTCCCAGGTGGTGAGCTTCACTCCGGCGCCGAGCGGCGAGGACGGCCGGTCCGATCTGCTCAGCATCGCCAAGCGCTTCGGGGAGCCGCTCTACACGCTCTTCCTGCCCTCCAAAGTGAGTTCTGGCCCACCGGGTCTGGGTTCTGAAGAACCTTTCCGTCCAGACCGGCGGCAGGGCCCGGTTCTGACGGGTTCTGGTTCTGATCCAGGCCTTCGTGGAGATGAAGCTGTCTGCCGAGGCCCAGAAGCTGGTGGACTACTACTCGGCCAGCGCGCTGCGGATCAACGGCGCCACCATCCAGGTGGCTTTCTCCTCCGAGTACCGGACCCTGCTGTGAGTAGAACCCGCCCACGGCCGGTTCTGGTACCGGCTCGCCCTCGCCGACCGTCTGGTTCTGCTCCACAGTCGGGTTCCGTCGGCCCAGAAGTACGAAGACGAGCCGGCCAAGACCAAGGAGCCCAAGAGAACCCAACGGGCCAGGACCCGGTCCAGGTCCAGAGACCGGTCCGGGGGAGGGCGGCGGAGACGGAGCGGTTCTGGAGACAGGAAGAGACCAGAGATCAGAACCAGAACCCGGTCCAGGTCCAGAGAACGGCACGGAACCAGTTCCCCTGGGCAGAACCAGAATCAGATGGAGGGGAAACCCAAAGAACCACAGAACCCAGGTAAGCAACCAGAACCAGCAACGCCCCAGCCTTTGATCCTGGTTACCGTAGCAACCAGGGTGGCCCAAACATCCCATAATAGAGGATAGAACCGATCAGAACCTCTCCTTCAGGATCAGGTTCTGATCGGTTCTGGTCCTCCGGTCCGGTCCAGTCAGAGCGTCATGCTGCGTCTCTCTGCCCAGAGTCCAGATCGGCTGCTGAACCTCAGAGGGATGAAGGTGGTGATGATGATGAAGTCCATCCAGTGGCTGAGGAAGAGGAGGACCAGCTGGGGGATGAAGATCAGTGAGTCGGGTCCGATCGGCAGCAGAACTCTGCCGCACCGCCGAGCGTCTCCTGACCCAAAGTCCTGCCGTCTCCAGGTCTGACAGCGACATCGAGGGCATGGAGGTCATCGCCGAGGACGGACAGAACCTGGACGATGAGGAGGAGGAGGAGGAGGACGACGAAGAGCAGAAACCAGAACCACCTGGAGCAGGTCGGACCTGGACCACTGGAGGGAAAGTTCTCTGGAGGGAAAAACTGAGATCAGGAAATGATTTTCCAGATGGAGGAGAGCTGGAGAAGACCGGAGCTGAGGAAGAGGAGGAGATGATGAAGGAGGAGGAAGAGGAGCAGCAGCAACCTGCGACTGAGGAAGAGGAGGTAAAACACTTGCTGGTTCTGGTTCTGTTGGGCCAGAATCATATTTGGGGTTCCCCAAGGCTCAATCCAGGGATCCCTCCAGTTCAACAGATCAGTTACCGTGGCAACGCAGTTCAGCTCTACATCACGTCACCAGGTGACATCTAGAGCTCTACATCTGGCTGTAAACCAGAGGATGACCTCTGACCTCTGACCCTCCACATTGGGCCTTCTAATGTCTCAGATCAGAAACTCGTCCAGGTGTTTCTCTGGTGGCATTGATTATTGATCAATAACTGGAACGTTGATCATTATGGTCTGGATTCCAGCGTTTCCCTCTGATGTTTTTATGTTGGAACCGAACTCGACCCGTTTAGCTGGTTCTGGTTCTGGTTCCGACCCAGCTTGATGTTCTCCTCCTTCCCAAACAGGAAGTAGAATTCCCGGTGGATCTGGAGAGCTGCATCACTCTGGATGAGGTGAAGACGGACGATGAAGGTAAGCAGAACCTTCAGGACGACCCGGTTCTGTTCGGGCTCCTGACGATGTTCTGATCCGTTCCAGATGAAGCTCCGCCAGCTGACGGTCGCTGCGAGGAGGATGGGAAGACGGGTTCTCCAGAACCTGGTCCGGAGCCGACTGGACTGACTCGAGACGATGAAGGTTCTGGTTCCGACTCCAGAATCCAGGAGGAACCAGAACCTTCAGAACCGACGAGGTCCACTGAGACTCTGGAGCCAGAACCAGACAGAATTGGTCTGGAGCCGGAGAGCCAGACCCGATTCCAGAAGGTTCTGGAGACCCAGCGGGTCAAGACGCCTCAGATGAAGACCCGGTCCAGGAAGTCATCTGGAGACGACGGTACCAGAACCGGTTCCGACGAGGAACTCGATCAACCAAAGACCGCCTCCAGAACTGCTCCAGAACCCGGTCCTGAAAAACGAAAAGCAACTCCTGAGAACAACGGCGTTCCTCTGAAGACGCTCAGGACAGAGAACGGACCAGAACCGGGTCAGAACCAGGACACAGCAGAACCAAAGGCTGACGAAGAGGAAAAGCAGCAAATAAAGACAGACGAGCAGAACCCAGCAGAACCAGAACCACTTGAACAGGTAGGACTGCCGAGCAGGTCTGGTCTCTGACCCGTCCTCAGGGTTCTGTTCGGGTCCTTCTGGATCCAGTTTCTGGTCGAAACCGGACCTGCGGTTCCTGACCCGGGTCGGGTCCTCACGCCAAGCTGTGCTGCTCTGATGACCCGGTCTGGATTGGACCGGGTCATCAGAGCCGAGGAAACCCAACCGGATCAGTTTGGAGATTCATTTATTTCACTTTGCTCACGTCAGAGTCACATGATGGACAGGAAGTCCTGCTGGCGAGGACAGGAAGTCCTGCTGGCGAGGACAGGAAGTCCTGCGTTTAGTGACTGAACTAACTGATTTTAATCCTTAACGCAGCTGGTGAGGAAAACTATGACAGGAAGTGACACGTTTAGATGTTTCACTCAATGCGGTCAAATTGTTTTCAGATCAGGGATCAATATTTTAGTCCTGTTGATTATTAGAACGTTGGACCAATCGGTGACCGCCTCTGTTTCCAGGAGTCTGCAGCGCCACCAGCAGAGGGCGCCACTGAGCCGCAGAAACCTGTCGGTAAGAGTCGCACCTGAACGTCCAATCATTTGGGTCGCACCGATCAGAACCCTGACGCCGCGGTGCGTTCACTGAGCCCTCGGCGGTCTGTGCGTTTCAGGAGCAGAGTTCGTTCGCCCCGTCGTCGGTTACTTCTGCAACCTGTGTCAGCTGATCTTCATCGATGAAGATGAAGCCAAGCTGCAGCACTGCGCCACGCCGGCCCACTACAGGAAGTACCAGGTCACCATGGAAACCAGCAGATTAGCGGTTCCGTTTGCAGCATGCTAACATGTCCTCTGTTTGTTTCAGGAGAAAACTGGCAAAGATCCGTGGATAAGCTGAGTTACGGGTCAGAACCACCGTGAACGTGTCTCACTGGGTCAGAACCGTCCGCTTCCTGCTGCTGTAAATGTTCTAAGTTTGAAATAAAGCAAGTTTGATTCTGAGGAACCAATTTATTGTGTAAAATGTTCTGAACAGCAGATCCACATCCAGACTGGTCCCGACCCGGTTCGTTCTGACGGGTCGGGTCGACAAACATCTAAAACATAAAAACAAAAAAATTGAAACTCTTCTTCAGGCCGCCGTCTTCTTCAGCTTCTTCTTCTGTGCTTTGGCCCGTTCCTTCTCCAGGTGTTTCTGGATGAACAGAGAAACGACCACAGGTCACGTTCACAGAACCACCCTGACCCGGTTCTGGTAGGACGGGACCAGAACCGGGAGGAGTGACAGGTTCAGCACTTGCAGACAAAAACATGAACTATTCTGAGCTGAAACGTAATTAGAGCTAGCATCTGGAAACAAGAACTGATGAAACAGGAAGTGGCCCTTCAAAATAAGACAAGTTAATTTTGAAGTTTAATGTTGCCTTTTAACACGGACAGCGTCCTGATTCAGCCCTGTGACTAGTGAAGGATTCTGGGTAATGAAGGCAGCTAATGCGACCAGGAAGCCAATTTGGGAAACTTTTTCTAACAGGCGAGTTTCTTCTTCTGCTTCGTCAGTGAAGCTTATTCAATTATTTTAGATTAATAAACTTTCATTTTGAAAAACTTATGAAATTACACAAATATGTGATGAAATGTTACGTTAGCTTTGGTAGCTTTTATTGTCATTTGCTTTTTTGTAAAATGGAAACATCCTGAAGTTTAGTGCAGAGGCCTTGGAGTTCGTCCCTGGACAGCGAATCCCAAATACCAGGAGGGTCTAGAAATTCAGAGCCGATTCAGTGATTTAGGTACGGAACCACATTCAGGCCAAACCAACCCGGGGCAACAAAGGACAAACATTTTCTTGGAGAAAGTACATTTTTAAAACCCTCGAATGCTAACGCAGAACATTGCGCCTCAATCTCCTGATGGGATCCATAATCCAACCAGGTGTTAAAGAAAGTTTACCTCAAAAGCTGCAGTTGAACAGAGAAATGTTAATACCACAGCTGAAGAAATGCAGATACCCACTGGCCAAATGTCAGGAGACTTAGAATATTGCAACATGACGCAAACTGTCCGGTAGTGGAAGATAAAACATCACATCTTACTGGAGTCTCTACATTTCACTGAGTTTATATTTGTGAAGTTGAAGCACTGGATCCGATCTGGGCTCGGTTTGATTCAGTCAACGTGGCAGAGTGGGAATCTGCAGGTCCTGCAACTCATCGTTCTCCAGGATCTGTTTGTTACCGTGGCAACTGGAAGAAGATCCCACTTGGGGCTGAAGGTGAGGATGTGCAGCTTGTTTTCAGTTTTTGCTCCACACATTTTGTCACATTTCATTTGACAAAAACATTTTGAAGGTTGTAAAACTGAAGATGAAAAAAATCTTCACCAGAAAGAAATCCTACATGACAGGAAGTTTCAAATAAAAAGTTAATTTGTATCAATAAGCAAGAAAATTCATGATATCACCGTATATGCACAATGTGACATGAATGCGTCACAATTCAGAGCTGTGCCAGTGGGTGGCGCTACTAAAAACACCTTTAGATATGCATCACATATGATTCATCTGGTACAATACAGAACTCCCATCATTTTAATAAAAGTAGATCTCGGTTCCTAGGGTTGAACTGGGCCACCTGTGTGGGCGGGGCCAGCTGACTGGGAACGAGAATACAACCTGCTGAATGTGACAGGTAGCCAATCAGAAAGCG